TCTGCTTCCAGGAGACCTGGCTTTCAGAGAATAATTCCTTTAGACTACACGGTTTTAAATTCTGGAAACAGCTTGCACAGAAATCCTCTAAGGGAGGCCGTGCCAGTGGAGGTTTGGCTATTTTGGTTTCTTGAGATATTGAGTGGTGGTCACCTATTCTTGCCAAATTATTTACGTACATTAATTCAACTGGCAATTTTCCTCCTGGGTGGCAATCGAGTATTGTTGTACCAATCTACAAGAAAGGGAACACAACAGACGCTTCTAAATATAGGCCCATCAGGATAAAAATAAATTATTATTATTATTATTATTATTATTATTATTATTATTATTATTATTATTATTATTATTATTATTAACTTCTGGAATGGGATAGTAAACAATCTATCATCCATGAAGAGCAAGTAGGATTTAGGAGAGGTAGAAGCACTCTGGATCAAGCCTTTATTTTGCAACATCTTATACGTAAATTTTGCAGTCCAAATAAGTTTATTTATGTAGCATTTGTAGATTTTTCATCTGCATTTGATCTGGTAGACAGGTAGCGTCTATGGCACAAATTGTCTAAAACAAATATTGATAAAATATTGTCGTGGCTTATACAGCTGTTACATCAAGCTAATTCTCTGCAAGTCAGAATGGATTCAAATGGTGGCACAGTGGTTAAACGCCTGCCAAACAAACCTTATTTCTGCCACTCACTCATAAACCACAAGGTTGCGAGTTCAGTACTAGCCCGGGCTCAGGCTTGACTCAGACCTGCATCCTTTCGAGGTTGCTAAAATGAGTACCCAGATGCTGGGGAGCAATGAGCTTACAGTTGTAAACCACTTAGATTAGACATTGCATAGTGCTGTATGAAGCAGTATATAAATGAAGCTGCTTTGCTTTGCTTTAACACAATTTATTCCTATTGAACGGGGAGTGAAACCGGGCTGTATTCTGGCACCTTTTCTATTCAATCTCTATATCAACGATTTGATCCTAGAAATGGCCTCTCCCTCTTTCTTTCCTCCAGCTATTAGCAACCACAAGATTTCAAAATTGGCCTTAAAAGGATGCTAGTCAAATTTGGGAGGCTTTGTAAAGAGGAACAACTAGTTGTTGACTATTCTAAAACCAAGATCATGGTTTTTGGGAGGAGAACCCCTAAGAGCACATGGATACTAGATGGACATCATTTAGAACAATTATTTCAGGGTAGGGAACTGGGAAACAAGCCATAGTTTGTGTCACAAATCATAGTTTTGGCTTCAGATTTATTTATTTATTTAAATATTTCTAGCCTAGCCTATATCCAAAGATATCAGGGCAGCTCAGATGTCACAAGTCATGGTTTCAACAAACCAGAATTTGTGAATCAACACCAAACCATGAGTTTAAGTTGTGAATTGTGGCTGGTTAATAAAGCATGACTAGCACAGATAGGTTCCCCCACATGACAACAAGCCACCATGTCTTGGTACAATATGTGTTATCATAAGGCAAATATGGATAGCCATAGCAAAAGCAGAGATGATTGCTCCCTACTAAAATGTATGGTGAAGTGCAGATACAGTGAAACCCAAGGTTGGGTTTGTAGGTATCTGTGGTTGCCATTGGTTGCTACAGAATGGGAACATATCTCTCCATTCATTGGTACAGTCCCAGTTTCTTTATTTGACAGCTTATCTGTTGATATAGTTAATCATTTCTCCCAATGTTATTCATACTGATAATATTGTTGTCCAAAATCTTCCCCTTCTCTTTGACATTATTCTTTCTCTCATAGATAATATGAATGGCTGTTTTTAAAAAAGAGATGCTTGAGTTGCTTTTAACACTGTGAAACCATATATTAAGCATAATTTTACGCCCTAAAAATCATAAATCTGAATATATATGTATTGGTTGACACTCACAGGATATTCTTGGGCCAGTCACCACCTCTCAGCTCACCTAATCTCATAGGATTGTTGTGGAGATAACATGGGGAAGATATTAATGCCTAGGAAAAAGTGGATAAGAATGAAAGAGGGTTTCACAGGCTACTAATCTGTAATATCAGTTGCATAGCTGGCCACATGCATCACTAATCACATGCCTTCATGTTGCAATCACTTCTAGCCATATCAGCATGCATTTAGCTCTTTTCATCCCCTTAGTTCATCATTTACAGCATGTGGGTCCCTCAGTATTGGTTGAATGCATCTTACCAAAATCCCACCACTCACCATGCTGGTTGAGGCTTGTGGGAGTTTAAATCTAAAAACATGTGGGACCCATAGGACGTTATCACACGTGGGCCAGAAAG